CATCTTTTTTTCATAATCATTTTTCATTTAACAGAAGTTTTGTTATACTTTGATATTGATTTTTTTATCAGAGATTAATATATATACTGTATATACGTATTCATATTTGTATATATTGTTAATTAAAGCAGTTACTTTGGGCTAGACTTTAATTTTCTATTATCTTAATATATTATATCTATATATATATGAACGATGAGTAATATATATATATTTTTTTTTCTTTTTTTTTTTTCTTTCATTTCTTTTACACACATAACCATATCTAATGTTTATATCTACATATATATATATATTATATATATATATATATATATATATATATATATATATATATATATATATATATATATATATATATATATATATATATATACATATATATATATTATATATATATATATTATATATATATATATATATATATATATATATATATATATATATATATATATATATTATATATATATATATATATATATATATATATAATATATATATATATATATATATATACATATATGTATATATATGTATATATATATATATATATATATATATATATATATATATATTATATATATATATATATATATATGTATATATGGATATATATAAAATATAAATATATGTATATATATATATATATATATATATATATATATATATATATATATATATATATATATATATGGATGTGTATATATATATATATATATATATATATATATATATATATATATATATATATATATATATATATATATATATATATATATATATATATATCTATCTATCCTCTAATGTTTATTAACATGAAGCAGTGCAGATTTTGGCATTCATGGCCATAAGTTTGCTAAACTGTCTTTATTCTCTTTTTTCTAAAATATGATGTAGTTCAGAACATCTTGCTTGAAATTTATGAAACAAACCAGAAGTGGTCAAAAGCTTCTGGTAAGTGGAACACTGATTTGGTATTTACATCAAAAGCATCTTCCTCTTTGAAATCATACGATTCGTTTGATTGGCAGAGATCACCAGTGACCATCTTCAAAACCACTTATGAAACAATGTCACCATCAATGAGGTCACATCCAGCATTGTCCATAGTTTCCCGTTATCAATAAGTATATTTGACTCCATCCAAACTGTTATATTACTTTGGTTTCTCTTCTCACAATGTGCATTTTTAGATGATGCTGAAAGGAGGGCATGTATGATCACTAAAAAAAAAGTCAAATGTCTTTATTAAGCTGTCTTATTAAAATGTAACTCAAGCCACACCTAGCATCCAGCATCAAATAATAGAACTAGGGACTAACAACTGATCAAAATACCTTTTTGGAAAGGAAGAAATGTCATCTACTCTTAGTGACTTGATTGAGTATTTATCATATGACTGCATTTGGAGAAGTGCAATGAGAGAGAGAGAGAAATATAAATGTGTGTATATATATATATATATATATACATATATATATATATATATATATATATATATATATATATATATATATATATATATATATATATATATATATATATATATATATCAACAATCAAGATGCTTCACATGAAATTACTTGATATATTTGGGTAGTTACATTGTTGTTGGTATATGTTCATTGAAACAGGCAACTAATAAATGAACAAAGGAAAGAAAGAAGGCAGGAGTAAAGTGGACATATGTGGAGAATAAATTTAAAGATAGAGGTAGATAAGAATTGATGACTGAATACAGAAACAGAGAAGGAAACTTACTTATTTGTTTGTTTTTATTTTTTTTTTTTTTTAATACTATGACACGCTTATTGAGACAAAAATACCTGACTATTCCTAATCATCCATACAGCCTGTTCAGGTAAATCTATTACCTCTGCATTTCTATGTGTATGAAGAATAGTACACTGGAATATTTAGTGTATCACTGTATGTGATCTAGGGAATATACACACATTGTATACACTGCACTCATTTCCTTGCTAAATCCCAGTAATATTTATACCCAAACCTGATCCTCATGTACACACTGTCTTTCCATTTGGCTTTGCCTTTCTCATAAGTAAAGTCTGTTCATCCGTTGATGCATGTGGTGTCTCAGCCACTCGTCTCAAAGTACGTCTCTCTTCCAGATTTGAAAAGCTGATGCCCCATTTACATTTTGACAAGAAAGTTGAATTAATGTGATGTTCTTTTCAGATGATTTACATATTTATAAAAAATACCTACATGTAGCAGTGTTCACAATGTCTGACAATGCTGTTTTTCATTTTTCAACGAGTATTTACAAGCCGTACTCATTGAAGAGATAATTTATCAGTGCTCTTTGACACTGAAATGTGTCGATCTATATTTCAGAAGTAAATATGGATGAATTATGAAAACTTTTATTTTTAAAACCCTTATTAAATATTTTTCAGTCGTTATTATTGAACATTCAAACACTGAAAAATGTGCTTATCTTTATATTTCCGAATAAATTGCTAATCATTATGTAATTATTTTTTTATAATTTTACATTATAAATTCCAAAAATAGCGTCTCATCTATCATATAAATAAAATGAATAAAATTTTACCCAATATTGAAATACTAGTCTGCTGATAACATAACACAATTGATTCATTACAAAGAGTGTTAAAAGCAATTAAACTATGTAATATCTTTTTCCCTGATATATTGTTATACAGTATGGTTAAACCGTACATATAAATCAAGACAACAGATAAATCTTTAAGTAAATATAATAATTGCAGTATATCGTCAATTAACAACAACTAAGAACATGGCATGTCGAGTTATCTTTACAGAAATAATTATCATAACAGAGTTTATCTCTTTTATTCTTGACGTTCAATATGATCCCAGGTACATTCTGTATCATACAAATATAAAAAATTTCCCAGAGCATTTTGCATTTCTGGTTTGTTTATTTTTGCTTATCATATTATACTATCACAAAATAGACATGGTGTGGGATTATTGATAGAACAGGTCCGTAGGTTTATCATATTCTTTTTTTCTCCTCAACCCAGTATATGATTAAGAAAATAAAGACACACGGCAGTAGCGAAAGCATTTACAAGAACTAAAAATATTATCGAAAGAATTGCCATCCAAGTTGCCTATTCAGCATTTTGGGGTTAATTCTAGCTCCTATCAGTCTCGAATGGAAAACGTGATAGATTTTTGTATTTCAGCTGTAATGTCACTAATTCGTTCGCAATCGCTGTGAAGTCTACATGGGAACATATGGGTGATGTCAGATTTACTTATACTGACATTAAAGAATATTCAAATCCCAAATCAAATCTTGATTATAGTTTGACATAAAAGAAAACACACACACACACACACACACACACACACACACACACAACACACACACACACACACACACACACACATATATATATATATATATATATATATATATATATATATATATATATATATATATATATATATACAGGGCCGGTGCTAGGAAATTGCGGGGTCCAATTAAAACTGATGGCGGGGACCCTATTCTACATAGTATTTATGGATGTTTATATTTCATATAAAAACAACAACATACAAACCAACAAAAAAAACGAATAAACATTAAATGCTATAAATATAATAAATACATAATAAATTGATATTATGAGGAAGGATATCTTATTGTTCATTTCATGTTTGATCCCCTTCAGTTGCGGGGCCCATTTTGATCAAATCGGCTTAAAACCGGCCCTGTGCACACACACACACACACACACACACACACACACACACACACACACACACACACACATATATATATATATATATATATATATATATATATATATATATATATATACTATATATATATATATATATATATATATATATATATATATATATATATATATATATATATATGTGTGTGTGTGTGTGTGTGTGTGTGTGTGTGTATATATATATATATATATATATATATATATATATATATATATATATGTATGTATGTATGTATGTATATATAAACAGAGAGAGAGAGAGAGAGAGAGAGACAGAGACAGATCAACAGAATTAATTGGAATGATATAAAAAAAATAGAATGTTTGCCGGTAGGGTACACTATATTATTTAGATATTTATGAATATCGATCATGATATCTTTATGTATATTTACAAATTCACATTCACATTATAATAATTAATAAAAGAAAAACAGACGGCATCGACTGCATTTGATAGTGAACGAAATATAGAAATCACATATAACAACACTCTCATTACAATAACTTTCTCATAAATCCTTCATACAATTTTACTTTTTTATTATTCACAGTAAAACTCTCGTCAAATACGTTATCAGTTGTAGCTATGGATCAATATAGTACACCAATTTTCAAAGAAATAAGTTGTACACAGTAAATGAGAAAATATTAATCTTCTGATTATATCATATAACAAACAGTATTACTCATATATAATGGATCATAAGCTATTGAACGATTTAATCTAAAAAGTTAGCTAATGAAATTTAAATAAATAAATTTATAACGAATTTCCAAAGACTGAAAGTGGCTCTTGAACTTTGCTATTTGGAGGAAATTTGTCGGGCCTGATTAGTTTTGGAAATTCAAAAGTACAAAAAAATAACTGTATTAATTGTACTGTAAGGTATCTACGGGGATGGACTGCAACTGTCAGAAATGTAATGAAATAATCTTGTTATAAAATACCTTTGAAGAGAATAAGCTTATTTGTCTCATCTTAATTTACTATGTCCTTTGGTATAATCAAATATAGTGATGGACAATAATCATTACGTGTGTAAATGTATCTATGATCGACATCACATCATATATGTTATGTAAGTAAAGTGAGTGACAGGTATAATCATTTACACCTTTTGGTTATTATTACGTTGGAAACGAGTTCTGGGCGTTCTTAAGTCCTCAGTAGACTACTTTAATAGTATTAAGGGGATAACTAAAGAATATTCCCACTGGCTTCGTATATATATATAT